GTCTCTAATCCTTTCAGAGGGGGCACAGTGCTAAGCTTTCACCTCTGGTTCATGCAGGTTAGGATATAACATAGAGTCCATGTACACGACATATGTTCACAATGGCTATACTTTGTTCTTTGAAGTAAGACTGTTTTCTACCGCTCCTAATTTCGATTGACACATTTATGCACAGCACTGAAACCTAGCCCCATGGCACTCTGTGTATTAACACAAGCAACCTAACACCCAACCACTTGCATAAATCATATAAGAAGAAGATAAAAGCGGAAAACAAATGTGAAATTCCAGCTGTATAAAGGAAACGCCAAAGAATAAAATAATTAAAAAAAATAATTAACAAAATAGAAACATTACATAAGGAAGTTCCATTCTGCCTCCTGAGATTATCACTATGAGAAGCATTGGTACAGGATGTGCAGGAATCGCCCTGATCCATCAGAATGTTTCTCATTGAGAAGCATTGAAACCAATGATTTTTTTATGAGAAGCTCTCAGTCCCATCTATCTCTCTGAGTAAGTGAGGAAGGCAATCCTCCCAGTTTGAGTAAGTGAGGAAGTGTGCATTACTACTGGAAGTATTATAAATGGGGCATGATATAGTTACATAGCTGAAAAGAGACATGCATCCATAAAATTACGCCATATTTGTTTTCTCAGTTGATCCAAAAGAAGGCAAAAAACCCAGTCTGAAGCATTTCCAATTTTGCAACAAGCTAGTAGAAAAAACCATCTTGACCCCAGAATGGCAGTCGGATATCTGTTTGGATAAAGAAGCAATAACCCCCCTAATTATAAATCATATTCCGCATATTATGTTTTTGTAACTATTTATCCAATTTCTGTTTAAACATCTGTATGGACTCTGATAAAACCACCTCTTCAGGCATAGAAGTTCACATGCTTATTTTTATTTACTGCAAAAAAACCGCATGCCTCTGCCTTAAACTAAATCTCCTTTCTTCCAATCTAAATACATGACCTCATGTACTATGTATAGTGCTGTTTATGAATAAATTTCCAGACAATGGTTTTAATTGGCCCTAGATTTATTTGTATGATGCTATCATATCCCCTCTGTGGTGTCATTTTTCCAAACTAAGGATATTTAACCTTTCTTTATAACTAAAATGCTCTATTCCTTTTATCAGTTTTGTAACCTACTTCTACTTTTTCTAGTGCCTTAATATCCTTCTTTAGAACAAAATTGCACAGCATATTCGAGGTGTGGTCTTACCAGTGATTTGTAAAAAGCCAAAATTATATTTTCATCCCGAGAATTAATACATGACAATACCTTACTGGCCTTAGCAACTGCAGATTGACATTGCATATTGTTGCCTAGTTTGTTTATAACAATTTCCAAATTCTTCTCATGTGTGGTTATCCCTAATTCACTACCATTTAGGATGTAAGTTGCTTGTGCATTCTTTACAAGTGCATAACGTTTAATTTTTCTAACTTAAATATCATCTGCCATTTGAGTGCCCAGACCCTCAATCTATCTAAGTCCCTCTGCAGCAAAGCAATATCCTGCTCACATTTTATTACTTTACAAAGATTTGTATCATCTGCAAACACTGAAATATGGGTTTCAATGCCTATTTCAAGATCATTTATAAATATGTGATATAGAAACAGTACCAGAAAAGAACCCTGAGGGACAACACTTGCCACTTTTGTCCAGCTTGAAAATGTACCATTAATGACAACTCTCTGTACCCTATCTTTAAGCAACTGATCTATACTTCTACTTACTTCTTCGTAGAATGGAATTAGGCCAGTTGGACATGACCTATGTTTCATAAAACCATGTGGATTATTGCTAATAACACTGTTTATTCCCAGTGTGTTTCTGAATATTATCCCTTAATAACCTTTCAATATATTTTTATATGTGGCTTTATTACATTAATTAAAAAAATTAATATATATATATATATAAACACACACACCCCAGGAGACTTATGCCGGGGTTGACTTCGGTTGTTTATTTGAGTTATTAGACAAGTTTTAGACAAAAAGCTAAGAATAAAAATTACAGGATAAACAGAGAAAAGGAAAAAAGATAAAGGGAGAAAACAGAACCTAGAAACAAGATTACAGGTAAGTATGAAGAAGTAGAAGAAGAAATAGAAGTTTAGGCAATATGCCCCAAAGCAAGTTTACAGAAGAAAGGGAAACCTATCAGTGAAATAATAGGTAACAAGTAAATATAATATCAGACAATAATAAACAGCATAATAAAGGATAATGGAAATCGGGTTGGTTCTAAGTTAAGGTGGACAGTCTCTTTTAGTTTGGAGGATTTGTACTGAAGTTACCAGGTGTATGGTTCAATTGCAATTAATATGATGGTTAGTAAAATCCAGGTAGGGTAGATCCAAAACAAATAAGGAATAATAGAAAATAAAGTCCAGTTTGAATTAAAGCACAATGTTTGGATGAATCAGGCTGGATCAAAGGGAATCAGACACTAGCAGGTTATCAGGAATCAGTTGAGCCAGGAACAGATGTCTTTGTCCATATCAGACTATAAACAAGTCTCAGTAATAGCCAGACGCAGAAAACAACTTTTCTCAATGTAAAGGCCGTTTGGTTTAGTCGGGTGTGGCCTTTTATAGCAGATATAAATCATGCTATGCAGATGAGAGAGACTGAAGTGACTAGTGGGTAGGGAGGCCACTAGTGTTGGAAACTGGAACTGTATGAAATAAGTCAGAAGAAATTAAACATGTTTTGAATTGTCAGGTTAGGATCCTGACAGTGTGTAACATTTTGTATGGGTGTATTGACTGTGTGTGATACATGTGTATATTGACTGAGTAATATTTGTGATGGATATTTTATTCAGATTTTTAAAAAAATCCTTTTTTGTGAATGCAGGTGTGTATTTTTGCAGTCATATGCACAAAGTCCCTGGCAATAGTCACTCTCATACAGTCACACAGACACAGCCACAGACAGACAGTAACACATGCAGACAGTCACACACATATACACGCAGTCATGGGCAGATAGTCACACACAAAGTTACAGGCAGACAGTCATACACCTAGTCACAGACAGACAGACACACACACACATGCAGTCACACACACACAGACGACAGGCAGACAGTTGCATACACAGTTACAGGCAGACAGTCACACACACAAAGTCACAGACAGTCACACACACATAGCCACAGACAGACAATAACACACATACACAGTCACACAATAACACACACAAAGTTAGACAGTCACACACACTGTTACAGACAGACAACCACATACAGTTACAGCCAGTAACACACACACAGTTACAGACAAACAGACAAACAGTCACATACAGTTACCTCTTACCATTATGTGCACTGGAGGAAGTAGATACACTGCAGTCCTTGAAACTCTTCATTGCCTTCATTGTGCAAGGTGTGCAGGCCCCAGCTGCCATGGTGCCCTGTGGGGCTGCAGAGCTTACAAATACCTAAGGCTGGGCCCGATACTTTACTAGCCTCAGGATGGCAAAGCACTATGGATGTTGCCATTTTAGAACATCTGGGGATATACAATTTACCCGTGTATGCTGTGCAAATGTGCACTTCCTAACTTTATGTTTCCTGGCTGCAGCCATACTTTTTTATGTGAACTGTCCCCCCATCCTCTCTGCTTCCTGAACACAAGAGCATTATTTAACCAGATATCTCTATAAATCTTTTTACAATAGTTCCACTTTCTATGTCATTACAATTTGTGATACTATCCAATATAGCATATACGAGGATAGTATACCATCGCTTAATGTATAGCTTAATCTACATAGTTCTTATTCTATTGAAAAATAACATTATAATAAATGTTGATTTTTTATTTTTTTTTGCCAAATTAATCATGGGCCAAATTACTCCCAGGTCTGAGCTATTGCATCCACTTTGTTGGTCACATCCACTGTGTGGATTAATAAATGGGCTGTTAAGGTAGCTAAACAGCTGCTGCCCCCTGGAAGTATAACTCCCACCAATCTTGGGCAATACTGTCCTATGATAAGGGGATTGATCATTGTCAGTAATATGGTACACTTCATTAAGGTGTGAGATCACTCAACATGCTTGCACATGTATGATTTGGATTTCAAGGCAGGTAAATTAACTACATGACTATGTAAAATATCCATTCCAAATTAAGAATTACCTCTACATCTACTACAAATAAAAACAATTATTTTTATTAATTCAGCATTAATGGGCTGGAATAAAATGCTGGATCAATTTTAAAAAATAAGATTTTTTTTTTGAGACGGTTGCATTAGTGTGTTTTGCAGGATTGCTTTATTACTATTTGAGGCACATGTGGTGTATCTCCAGAAACTGAGAGCAATCAGATGCAAAAGTGGTGAAATTTTAGTTTTCATTCAGCATCACTTTCTTGTAAATTATTTTCATTCAGGATTCAGAAAGCATACAATTATTGTTTCTTCAACTGGGTGCTCTTGTTGATGCTCTCGTTATTTCTATGCCCAATCATAGTTAATTTCCTGCTTCTGTTTAACAACTTTTCAGTTTTCTTATGTTGGTCATCTGATTGGGTGTACAGATTGCTTATTCGTAATGAGAATTTTAAAATCTCTGCCAATCAGCATATTATTTACTGATTTTGTCCAGCAAATCATCACTTTTTTTTGTACCAAGTTGATTATCTGATTGGTTGGAACGTTTCTGCATGATTATAGCTTTTCCATCTTTACTGCAAACCTGCAAAATAAATTCCAGACCAAATAATGCAGAAATGCACTGCTCAGTTGCATATCTCAAATGCAAGAAATTACTAAACCTGTGCACAGCGGGATTGTCATAGTAATTTTTCTTAAAATCTAAATTTTGTTCAGGATGTCTGACCCTCATTCATATAACTGTTCAGCAGTGGCGTACTAAGGGGGGGGCGGGGGGGGCGGTCTGCCCCGGGTGCCAGCCGGGTGGGGGGTGCCATGGCCAGCCCCGCCACCCCCCCCATGCTGCAGCCGCCCGAGCGCTCTGTAAAGAGCCTCAGGCGGCTGCAGCTTTGCCCGGGCGGTGCGTCCATGAGGGCGGACCGCACCGCCTGGGCGCAGCCTGAGAAAGGGGGCTGACAGGAGGGAGCTCCCACCTATCAGCTCCCTCCCTGTAGCGTGGCCGAGCCCTGATGGTCCGACGGGTACAGAGAGCAGCTGTCTCCTGTACCCGGCCGGACTAACAGGAAGTGCACACTGAGTGTGCACTTCCTGTTAGTCCGCCGGGTACAGGAAACAAAAGCTCCCTGTACCTGCGGACTATACAGGGCTCGGCCACGCTACAGGGAGGTAGGGGGGAGGGGGAGAAAGAAGGGGAGAGCCGGGAGAAAGAGAAACAAGGGGGGTGAGAGGTGAGAAAGAGAAATAAGGGGGTGAGAGAGGGTGAGAAAAAGAAATAAGGGGGTGAGAAAGAGATATGGGGTGTGGAGAGAGAGATAAGGGGTGAGAGAGAGATAAGGGGTGAGAGAGAAATAAGGGGTGAGAAAGAGAAATAGGGGTGAGAAATAAGGGGTGAGAAAGAGAAATAAGGGGTGAGAGAGAAATACAAAGAGAAATATGGGGGTGAGAAAGAGAAATAAGGGGGGTGAGAAAGAGAAATAAGGGGGGTGAGAGAAAGAGAAATAAGGGGGGGTGAGAAAGAGAAATAAGGGGGTGAGAAAGAAGGGGGGGGTGAGAAAGAGAAATAAGGGGGGTGAGAGAGAGATAAGGGGTGGGTGAGAGAGAGAAAAGGGGGGTGGGTGAGAAAGAAAGGAGGGTGGGTGAGAGAGAAAGGAGGGGGGGTGAGAGAAAATAGGAGCGGGGGTGAGAGAGAAATTGGGAGGAGGAGAAGGAAATTGGAGCGGGAGGAGAGATTGACATTCATCACATACACACAATGCACCCCTTGCACACAGAAAAACACACAATGCATTACACACACAGACACACATACACAAGCAATGCAACCGTTACACACAATGCATCCCTTACACACACAGAAACACACAATGTATTCATTACACACACTCAATGCACCCCTTACACACATTCAATGCATCCCATACATACACAGAAAGACACCTTGCAGCCCTTACACATACAAACACAATTTCACACAATGCATTCCTTACACACATATCAGGACATCCCCTACACACTCCACCCCCTGTGAACAAACTCATTGGTGGAACATGAAGGTGACCCTGGGACCCAGACCTTGAGCGCCAGGCAGCTGACCCCCAAAAATGCAGTTGCTTCCGCTCTCCCAGAACATTGATTTTGTGACCACAGCTAAACCCAGAGAGCCTGTTCTGCACCAGACCAGTGGACAGACTGCAGCTAGAGCCCATCATCATCCTCATCTGGTTGTAAGTAGGCAATCTAGTATATTATTCGTGGCACTAAGCTCTAATTTACCTCACATTAAAGAAACACTATAGTCCCAGAACCACTTCAGCTTAATGTAGTGGTTCTGGTGTCTATAGCCTGTCCCTGCAGGCCTTTTAATGTAAACACGGCGGCACTGCAGCACTGGCGTTAGTTAACATGGCAAATCATATGGCTGGGACATTGTGATGTCACATGGGGGACGGCAAACTTTACTTTTGCCTTTGGCGGCAAAAATCCTTGTACCGGCCCTGGCTGGAGGGGGCTGTGTGAGCTGTGGTCGCACAGTGTCCCATGGTAGTTAGGGTGCCGTGCGGCCAGTACAGCTCACTCAAGCAAACAGCTGATAAACTGGCCGCACGGAGGAAATGTGTATGTGTGACTTTCTGCCTGTGACTGTGTGTGACTGTCTGCCTGTAACTGAGTGTGTGACTGTCTGCCTGTAACTGAGTGTGTGACTGTGTCTGTAACTGAGTGTGTGACTGTGTCTGTAACTGAGTGTGTGACTGTGTCTGTAACTGAGTGTGTGACTGTCTGCCTGTAAATGTGTGTGTGGGGCTGCAGGGATTTTGTAGAAGGGGGTGGGGGTTTTGTATTGGGACAGGAGTCTTTATAAGGGGGGATAAGCAGGGGATTTGTGGAAGGGGGTTGCGGGGTTTTGTAGATGGGGCAGTACAGGATTTGTAGAAGGGGCAGGGCAGGACAAGGGTTTTGTAGGAGGGGCTGACAGCGGTTTTGCAAAGTTTACAAATTGTAAAAATAAAAGAAATAAAACCTTTAACATTTTTTACAGGTTTTTTTTTTTTTTTTTTTTGGGGGGGGTGCCAAGCACAGGATCCGCCCCGGGTGCCAAATGCTCTAGGTACGCCCCTGCTGTTCAGTCAATGGTTTTCATTAAAAAAAAACATTCTGAGACTGATTTGGACAATACAGAAAGGGCATGGAAATGAGCAAATCAGTGTACTGCAAAATATGTACATCATATGCACATTATGTATTCATTTTTCAGTACACTGATAGGAGTATTTTTCCATAATTTGTATAAATATAGATTTCTTTCTTGATCCTATTGTTTCACTCTACTGGTTGCTTCTCACTTGATCTGTGAATAAAATTTAGCGGCTATCCTCATACCCATAACTAATCTTTTTTCCCATCAATCACCTTTTCTTTGGCACCAAGCGTGGAACACTGAATATTGAATGTTTGGCCATTGCGCTATGCATTTTCTTGGTAATAATGTTGGCATGGCGCTTCAGAGATCCAGAATTTGGCTGAACAGCTGATTGGCCCAGATTTGGCCGAATTGTGAATCTGAATGTACAAGTCTAGAAATCACTTTTTGCTTGTTTGCTAGCTGCAGCAATTCTCATGGAATTATCCTACTGTTTTATCATAAACAAAGATAAGGGCTAATTTGCACCCTGTCACTAAATAGCTACCTGTCATAGTACAAAGTTTTAATACATAGTATACACTATCACTATCTCATGCTAGGTCCAAGGGGTTAAATAGGTATTCCATAACGTAGAAGCATGGCAGCTACTAGTTACCAAATGGTTTCCAACCTTGAAACATTTTTTCTGGCTGGTTGTCAATAACATTAGATTGTAAATATACCGACCACTCACAGATAAAGCACAGAAACATAAACTGTGTAAGTTGTTATAATATGAACCCCACTTTTTTCCTGTAAATACTCACACTAGGAATACTTACTTAACAACTTGATTGGCATTAGCATGAGATAGTGACAGTGTATACAATATATTACATGTTTGTGCTATGCCAGGTATATAGCTATGGAACTTAGGTGTCCATAGAAAAACATTAAGGTTTTTTTTCGTAAAATTTCTGTAGGTAATTAATTTGTTTTCCGTTCTTCTGAAATTCAACCACCTGTATACACTGAACAGGAAATAACATTAAAACCACTGATAGATGAAGTGAATAACATTGATTGTATAATTACAATTGCACCTGTCAAGGGGTAGGACAAACTAGGCAGGAAATAAACAGTCTGTTCTTGAATTTCATGTGTTGGAAACAGGAAAAATGGGCAAGTGAAAAGATCTAAGTGACTTTGACAAGGGCCAAACTGTGATGGGTAAACGACTGAGTCAGAGCATCTCAAAAACATCAAGTCTTGTGGGGTGTTCCTGATATGCAGTGGTTAACACCTACCAAAAGTAGTTCAAGGAAGACCATCAACAAGGTCAAAGTGCATTGATGCACATAGTGAGTGAAGACTAGCCCATCTGGTTCAATCACACAGAAGAGTTACTGTAGCTCAAATTGCTGAAAAATATAATGTGTACTATGGTCGTTGCTGCCGCCCAAGGGTAGTGGGAGTTTGAGCGCAGGACTTTTTTGTATTTGTATTTGCTTTTGCATCACACGGCTATGTTACAATGCAGCCATCCATTCCATGTGTTCCATATTAAGGGTTAATAAGCATGTAGGGGTGTATATAAAATATACCCCTCTTTGTCTCATTAGAGATATATTTGCCAGAAGCTCAAGGAAGCAACGTGATTGGTTAGTGTAGAACCCACCTAAGAGGTTTTTCTTGATGTGGCAGGTGGACCAGTGTCGTAGCATAGGGTGGGGGGGGGGAGCGGTCCACCCCAAGAGGCACTTTTTTGGGCGGTAAAATGTTTGTATATTTACTAAACGTTGGATGAACATTAATCTTGATGGCACACTGGCTGCACTAGCAGCTAATAACAGTTAAACAGTTAATAAACCTCAGAAGTGTGATGCTTAACTAGATGGCAGCTGGCCAGTGCGAGTTAGGCAACTGCCAAATTAAAATGTAAAAAAAAATTAAAATTAGCCTATAAGAGTAAACAATGTATAATGGGGGTTGGCCTGTGGCCAACGGTGGGCATTTAAATTTTAAAAAAAATGAGGCGGCATCCTAATGTCCTCCTCTTCCTCAACTTGCAGGAAGGGCTACTTATTATTAAATGGGGGACTTAGTGTCCCGATCCCAGTCACCACTCATGAGACCTAATGTACCTAGACCCAATCCATGGGCAGCAAGTGGGGGGCTCTATATTGATGACTGGGAATGGACAAGTCCGCCCAATCCCAACCGACAATAGCTGCCCAGCTGACATAGCTACCCAGAAGATATGTCCCCATTTGCTACTAAACAGTGGCTGCTTTCTATAATGACCAAATGAACCAATGACTGAATGACAGTTGGTGAACCATTTGGTAATTCGATCTAAGGAGCATTTGTATTCATTTTATGACTAAATGACCAAAAAATTTAAATATTTGTTTATTATCTGGGTTATTCCCTAAAGTGAGAATTCAAAGTGAATTCAAAGTGAATTTCAAAATCAAAGTAAATGTAGCTAAACAGAAACATTCTCTAAGTCAGATATTTCTTTGTCTACTTTTGTAAATTTGAAATTCATCTGGAGTTCTTCTTTTGGTGAATAACCCTGTCAATCAATCTTAAGAATATGTCTACTTTTCAGGTCCATATTTGCTACGTGAATTGTTTATTTGGGTGACTTATGCACTTTAAGCATAGAACTTATACTTTTATGTTTTATATTATGCCTGATTTCTATAGTTTTATTGTGTATTGATATGGCTTAAAATGCTTTGATGTGTACCTTAGAGTTGTAATATCATGCCATGTAGCTAACTTATTTTTCCTACAGGATAAATGAAAAGTTAGCTTTAAACTTATTTGCTCCAGACAAGAAGCTAGTGTTACAGTGACTCTGCCTTACCTACTTGTTATTATATTTTTTCCTCGTTCAGAATCTGTTCTTCTTTTCTTAATTTCAGATTTATTTCTTTTTAAAAC